CTATATTTTACATACACCTAGGAGTCTAGTCATAAAAACATTTAATGTCTCAAGTATGCTCACAGCTGTCACGAGTAATCCCTGTATTTTGTGTAATATGTTTACTTCCTATGATCGTCAGCTCCATCTTGAGGCCATAGTGTCGTATTTTCCTGATTGGGGCATTTCAGAAAAATACCACATTATAGCCACTAGATGAAGGTGATGATCTTAGCAAGTAAACCTATTAGACAGATTATGGGGGTTATTTGCGATGGTTAGGCAAATGCTTGAGACATCTGAACAGCAAATTTAAAAAAATAAAAGACCCCTTTAATTAACACTTACATATAATGTTCCTTCATCAGCAAGTGACTGGACAGTGAAAATAGAAAAAGCAAACTGATTACCTTTTATTTCTGTCACTTTGTTCTCTCCTCCAATCAGCATATTAGCAAGAGACTGAATACTGAGGTGCACGGCTTTGTTTTAAAGCTGAACTCTTGGTACATAACAAAGTAAACTTTTTATAACTCTGCAAACAGCATATGTTGAAAAATGCTTAGGCAGACTTTATCTTCATAGAAAACGAAATTTCAAAATGATCAGTGAAAGATCCAGACATTTTGGGCAGCTGATATTTTATGTAAATCTATGTAAAATCTATATAAAAATCCCAAGCCTGCCTCTCAGGCATACATAATGGTCATCCTCATAATAAATAGTGAGGCAGGAAAAAGCTCCGTTTTTATAGGAAAATTACAGATTTGCATAGAACTCTAGCTGGCTATATTGTTTTTACTGCAAGTAACGTCTGGTTATGCATTCCTTCATATGCTTACTTTGAATCACCCAGTTAGTAACAGGTTTACAATAAAGGATGATTATATGATACTGTACATATAACTTTGCAGGTCAGTAAGGTCACTCTGCTACTTACTGATATAATTACTGCAGTATGGAAGATGTGTTTAAATCACAAAACTGGCTGTACAGAATAAGGCCCCTTTCATGTGGGGTGGATCCGCTTTGCTTAGCAGGAGATCTGTCCACTGATCCCCTGCTGAGCTGAGCAGAGCAGACGCACGACAGGTCAATGTTTGCTCAGTTTGTGTAGAGCAGACACGGACAGAGCCCTCTCTGTTCTATGGGCTATCAGATGTAAACGAACCGGCTGTTCATTCACACCCGACTGCCCTCTAATCCAATCTGCATAGAGGGAGGATTGGATTGGAGATAGGCAGGTGTAAACGGACTTAAGTCTGTTTACACATGATGGTCCATGTGAATACATCGACCATCCAATCAGGTCTGCCTGAAAAACTGACAGGCGAACCTGATCGGATTACCCATGTGAAAGGGGGCTAACATTTCGCATTGAATAACAAATGATTTAGCAGGCAAAGCATTTAAACCCAAACTCCACACAAATGTAAATGCATATTTTTTCATTAATTAATTAATTACTGGTATTGATCTGCACTTCTTTGTTATTTACATAACAATTAGCCATACCAGACACTTTGCTTGTCAAGATGTGAATGAAAAACTGGGCCTCTGTGGGGTTTTGTTTTAGCTCCGCTTTAATAGGTAACTATGATAAGGTAGCTTCACACTGCCCTACTGTGCTTTGGCCACAGTGTGGGTGCAGCGCAGAAATTATTTAAAAAATCTATATTTTTAAAAATATTTATTTTTTAAATATATTCTTCAGATTTTTTTTAACATATAAAAAAGTCATTTTAACCTATATTTTTACATATATTTGTAAATGCATTTCAAAAATGTAGATTTGTATTTTTAAAGACATACAGTATATTTGAAATGTATTTTTAAAAATATTTTTCATATATTTTGTAATAAAAACACATTTCAACATGCAGTATATATATATATAAATATATATATATATATATATATATATATATATATATAATATTTATTGAAATATATCTTGAAATATATTTAATATGGCCAAAATTGTGGCATTTGAAATATATGGCAATATATTTGGGAAGAATATTTTAAAAATATATTTCAAATATATTTTTCTTCCATATGGGTATGTCCCATGGTTTTGGTGCATTTTCTGAAAGCATACCAAAAGTCCTGTTTCCTTACAACATACTGTAAAATCCTGACATGGGCAATAAATGTAAAACATTACAGGAATACCTGCAATTACTGCAATCATAATCTGCATCTAGACTGAGAACGTGCGAAAATACTATATATTTTATAGGAATTGTCACTGATAACCTGAGACCAAGACACAGAGCAAGAACTTCAGCAATCAATAGCAGGAGTAATGGCGTAGAAAATGTGCGAACTTCAAAAAAAAAAAAAAAATTTGCAGGTATCTTGTTTAGAATGCCTAGGGCTTTTAGAGTGGAAAAGGAGACTCTAGGTGGGCGGTGTACAAATAACGGATATCAATGACCCAGAAAAACAAAATTATTTGTCTCTTGAAAGAAAAATGATACTTAATTGGCAGTTATGGACAATAACCTTAGTTTTGCTTCAGTTTTCTTTTAACAGTCCACAGTTGTCCCTGTCTTCATGTATCACTTTACAAAGGTTTGTGTACACAATGCTTGGTTTGTTTCTTTTCTGTTTGATCAGATTCAACAAACAGACCTGAACCAACAATGTTCACTGAACTGTGTGGGCTGGGTGCTGAACACAACATAAGTGCCTTCAACTCACAAATATTCCTTTTCCATAGCTTTCACTGCATCCTGTGCTCAGTGCTGTCTGAAGAGCTGTTAGAATAAAATTACTGGAACTTAGTGAAAAACTTCAAGTAAAATGCTTGAATACAGAAATGCTGTTAGATTTATACTACCTGCACCCCAGAACTTCTGATGCCTCCTCCATACCTCTATCCATTTGCTAGGCCTAGTTTCACACTTGCTTGAGAAGTCAAAGCCACATAAGGCATGAAAAGGCTGAGTGCGGAGAGAATGAGTTTATTCCCTGTATACCTAGAACAATGTTTCTCAACCTTTTCTTTCAGTCCAGGCACCCTCTAAAATTATGGACAGTCCCGAGGCACCATTTATAATTATGGACAGTCTGGACGGACCACATTCTAAAATGGGGTGCCTTCATACTGTCTATAATTTTAAAAGGGTGCCCCATTCTAAAATGTGAAAAGCTATTCTGCAACATCCACACATGTAGGACACCCAATATTAAAGGTGATTTATTCTTCCAAAGCAAATACACTTTTACACACTAAGTAGTATTCCAGTGTTTCTCTTCTCCATCAGTTGTTCTCCATCACTGAGATAATGTGAGCCCCAGAATTGATGGAGAAGGTCAGGGGGGGAGGGTCAAACTAGGATGCAGCTGACATCTTCAGCTGAAGTCGTTGGTTGTCAGGATGTCAGCGGCTACAAGGTCATAATGGTGTACAGTGAAAACCTGTGGCTTTGTGTAAATAAAAGGCAGGCTTATTCCACCCGCTGGCTTGTATGCAAGTTTTTAAGAAATTTTTAGACATTTTGCCAAGTCACCCCTGAAGAAACCTCAAGGCACCCTGGTTGAGAAAGTCTGCTCTAGAACACACAACTAGAAAACTCAAGCAAAATGTTGCATCCAATGTAGCAGTTTGCTTGTAGGTATAAAGAGTTAGTGCAATGTAGTTTACCATGTCATCTTTCTACTTTTCTAGACATTTTGGATTACAGTTTTCCTAAATGATGAATATTATTTCAGCAACCGGATACAGATGAATCGGCAATCTTTTTTTTAGAATACCCAAGCTCATTTATGCTTTTTATATCTATTTAAATTTACCATTATTTCTGAAGTTATCATAATGCATTTTTTTTTATTTTTTTACTTGTTAATGGAGCTTTTATTTCTGCATATCAACTCCCTACAATGAAATGCAGTTTTCCTGTAATAAATAAATACATATGTTTCACTAGAAGAATGGGCCATAAAGAACTTCTAGAAATGTTGGACAGCCAAATTACATACAGAAGTGTAGCTTTTGTCAACTGAAGAACAGCTGGACCCTTTATCAGTTAAAACTGAAAGTGATATTAAAAAAAATAACAAACATGTCATACTTACCTGTGCTGTGCAATGGCTTTGCACTGAGCAGCCCCAATCCTCTTCTTCTTGGGTCCCCCGACAGAGCTCCTGGCTCCTCCTTCTTGACCAGCGCCCCTGATAGCAAGCCACTTGCTATGGGGCATTCATGTCTGCTCACTCCCGAGCCTTATTCTATGCATCTATAAGACACATAGAGCAGCAGCTCCACCCCACCCCCTGCTTTCTCCCCACTGGTTGTGATTGACAGCAGTGGGAGTCAATAACTCTTGATGCTGTCTCCGCCAATGAGCAGAGGAAGAGCCAGGACAGCCAAGGCTCCCGTGCACATCACTGGATTGAGAGGGGAATCAGGTTAATATTAGGGGGGCCATGGGGAAGCAGCACACCGAAGGTGTTTTACCTTCAACATTTACAACCACTTAAAGTTTAGCCAATAAAAAAATCCTCTATATACATTTAATGACCTAACGTACCTGTAAAGTAGTATGTCCTACATTGTGTAGGAAGCTGAATGCTGTATTGAAGTATATCCTACATTGTGAAGGAAGCTGTAAATCCTGTAAAAATCTTCAGTACAGGGATGTCCTGCCCTCTTCCTGCAGCTGAACTTTCAGAGCTGCAAAGGTTAATTAATCTGAGTATTCTGCAAGGCTGCATTAACCAAAGTCCCTCACGCTCCATCCGTAAAAGTTGCTAAATAGTGTATACTGCATGTAACACAATCTACCTCTTAGGGCTCATGTACACTGCAGCTGCTAAACTCACGTTTAGTAGCAGTTCAGCAGCCCCTGAACTCACCCTAATGTTTTCCTATGTGTCCATGTTCACATCTTCGTTTGCAGTCGTTTACACACAGTTGAGTTTACAGTCGTTTTTTTGAACACAACAAACTTGCGTTCAGACGTCGATGTTATCAGCGGTTCAAACGCAAAACGCTTGTAAATGTGGCTAAACACGGCAAATCACGTTTATAAGCATTTGTGATAAAAAAAATTTTTTACTTTTCCAGTTCCCAATGCTGTCCAGAGCCTTTTTTCATCATGAAAAATACATGCAAAGAGTTTTCAAGGTGCTCAGATGGATGAAACACTGAACACAGGATGTTGCTACCAAGCTTGTCACACATTGTACTGAACAATTCACACCTCAGACCTCTCCCACCCTTGGAAACAAAAGATATGTTAATGCACATTCACACCTCAACTTCCTCATGAAGACCCCCTGCCAGGTGGCCTTAATGACTCACTCCAGCAGACACCTTCCCACCCTTGGAAACAAAAAAAAAATGTGAATGAGCAACTCACACCTAGCTAATGTCAACACATACTGCTGTGTCTGCTTCTACTGTGTGTATTTCTCTGAAACAGTCTGAAATAGTTAATAATTTACCACTTTTCAGTGCATTCTGGGCATTTGGGAGGTTCTCCTGTGCTTATCTTTAAAAAAACGCTTCTGAATGCAAACGCCGGTAAGCATACATTTTTTAACCTACGTTTTCTAGCAGTCAGTTTCCATCGTTCAGAAACGTTCCGTGTACATGGGGCCTTAATGGGGAAGAGAATCCTGTGACTCATCTGAGTCTCCCCCATTCACAGATCATGTTACATGGAATGTACACTATGAAGCTCTTTCTACAATGGAAAAGGAAGGAGGAGTTGGGCCCCCATTGGGAATTGGTTCACTGCAGCTTCACAGAAGACTTTAACTGCAGCAACACCAGAAGCTGACCATTAGGAAGAGGACTGGGCATCCCTGCATAGAATATTTCTTCAGTATCCAGCTGCCTGCATACCATGGGACATACTTTATTATAAATCAGGTTATTAAAGCTGTAGGGAAAAAAAAATCTTTAAACTCTAGAACCACAAAGAAGGAGAAAGAGGGAAAGAGGGCTGTATGTTGTCTAAAACTCCCCAGATTGACCTTTCTGATCTAGAGCTTTGATGTACATTTTATTTGTACACTTTTGTTTGTTATATGTTTGGTAAATTCTGGCTTAGACATACTTTAATTCTGATCCTCTGCACCAGTTGGCTTGGTCCATCAACGCGAGAGATGTGTGTCAATCTCTCTACACACAGAACCCACTTAACTTTTATTCATACACAGCTACAAAATAACATATGTTGGCAAAAAAAATTTAAAATCATGAGCCTGCAAGTGAATGCAGGGATAAGTAAAGGAACGTTCCTCTTCATGAAAAACTCATTTTGAATACCTCTACCAGATTTTTTAATCCCTTGCATCTACCTGCAGAGTCATGATTTTTAAAATTGTTGCCAACGTACATTATTTTTAGCTATGTATGAATAAAAGTTATGTTTTAGGGCGCAGTGGGTTCTGTGCATAGAGATTGACGCAGAGCTCTCACACTGATTTAGTAGTTGTGATTCCCACACAGTAGCCGGTAATTAACCCCTTCACGCCTAAGGGTAAAAACAAATCTAAATGCCTAAGCACAATTCTGCAACTTTGACATGTGTTAGTAAAACCGTACATAACATCATAACTACTTTGTACATCCAGGTGGAAAATTTTTTTCAGGACAAATTGGGCTTTCATTTGGTGGTAAATGGTAATGGATAGCTCCTGATTTTTTTTTTTATTATCAAAGGAAAACTGGCCCAAAATAGTAAAAAAAAAAAAATGTTTTTTTTTAATTTAGCTGTGTGTTTCTTGTTACGACCATAACCTACCACCAAAGAACAACCCAAAACAAAATCTCCAGATCTTGACGATCGCAGCGATACCATATATATGTATTTTATTTGTTGTTTGTACCCGTAGTACAGCCCATAAACAATAGTGCGCATTTTGTTTGGCTTTTTTTTTTTTACCTAAAACACAGTGACACTGACATTAACACTAACTGACACCGATACCAATTTTTTTTTAAACCCTGACCTTTGACCCTGACCTTGACCCAAACACTAATCCTGGCACTGAACTAGATCAAACCTTGATCTAGGTATTTTTCTTTATTTTTTATTTTATTTTTTAATATTTATTTATCTTCTATTTTTTTTTTTTTTTTACAAACATTTTTTTTCTCTCTATGCCAGGAGTTAGAGAGATACAATGTATCTCTCTACTCCATTCATAGAGAGAGAAAAAAGCAAGGGGGCCAGGCTGCACAGTGACTGATCACTGTGATAGCCAATCAGAGGCTATCACAGCGATCATGTGACCCGGAATCGGGAGTCCCGGGTCCCGATTGTTAGAACGGGACCCAGGGCTCTCAGTGACACTGGTCTCTGTGCTGGGAGCGCGCTGAGCGACGAGCTCCCAGCACAAAGACAGGTATGCAAATATGCGGCCCCAAGGAAAAAAGCCCAGTTTCATCAGGCCACATATTTGTGTGACGTCGGCGTCAAGGGGTTCATTTGGTTCTAGATAGTCAGGTGAATTTATTGGTTTATTGGTCCAGCAAAGTCATAGTTTATAAATAGACTGTAATTTTGCAAACGTTTGTAAAACATATGTTTCCTTTTCTTTGCACAAGTATACTGTACTATATATAATCCACTGATCAACTTTTACCTTAAAAATGTACAAAATACAACTATCACTGAATGAGATTGCATCCAAGGTGGGTTCACACATTTCAATCTGTACAGTTATTTTCAATTATACAATAAGTGTAATTAAGAGCGAAACTCTTTTTTTCCCATTTAGGATAAAGGGAGGGTATATACACAACAACAAAAAACTGTGCTAGATGTGTAATAAAATATAAATCATACAAAACAGGATAAATAAAGCTGAATATTGCTGCCACTTCTAATAAATCAATATAAACATAAAAAAAACCCTCAAAGTGATTCAATAGCGCAACTATAAAGGTGAAAAATCAGTGTAAGTGAGACTAAAAGTCCAAAAAAATGTCCTTATCCACCACACAAATCTTCAAATTCTTCAAAAAATCACCTGGTGTAAAAATATGATGTCCCCCTTAGCCATGATGGCTCACCAGATGGCTAAGCCCCCCATTCTCATGGTTGGCTCAAAGAATAATATCCAATGGGAAGAAAATAATTCATGTAAAATGGTCATGTAAAATCCCTATGAATAAGTCGATATGACGAAATGCGTCAAGAGTATGGCTGTGCAGCAACTGGAAATGACATAACCAGAAGTGATGCGGGAGTGCCATTTTGTGTGATTTGCGGTGTTGACAGCACTGCATTGACTTCCATTAGTGTTCACACTTGATTTACCTGATTGCAACATCTCTGGGCTTGTGATTTGCTTTTAGCTTGTAAGTGGCTGGCTATTTTTAGTGAATAAAGGAGTTGCTTTGTACTGCACCATTGGGGTACTTTGTGCTTTATTTTACATGACCATCTGAGAGAGGATTATTGAGAAGGAGGTGTTTGTATACTATCATAAGTGCCTCCATAGTAGACATCCACCAATCTGTGAAGTGCTGTCTCTGTATTTTGGGGAATGGCAGATGTGGTGATTGGAGGAGATGATTAACATCGATAATTATTGATCTTCTTCCCATTGGATATTATTCTTTGACCGATTTTAGCCAACCATGAGGATGGGGGGCATGGCCATCTGGTGAGTGCATACCCGAAAGGGGGACATCATATTTTTACACGTGGTGATTTTTTTGAAGAATTTTAAGATTTGTGTGGTGGATAAGAGCTTTTTTTTGGACTTTTAGTAGCACTTTCACTGATTTTTCACCCTTATAGTTGTGCTACTGAATCACTTTGAGGGTTCTTTTATGTTTAAAGGGAGGCTATAACCCCCATCAGTTTTTTTTCTCCCATTGGGGAGATTTCCCTTCACTTCATGTGCCGTAGCCAAAACAGTGAGAGGAAATCCCTCCATAGTGAGGGAATCCCGATGTGTCACCAGGGTCACTAGAACTAATTTCCCCACTATTAGTGTTCTGATTTCAATCCAAAATTTGGAATTTTATTTTACTTTCACTTTCTGTACTGATTCATATATAAGTGAATTGGATGCGGTTTGAACCGCATCCAACCCACATGACATGTGAAATAACATTGCTTCCTATGGTGCCTGCTCTGGCAGTGCAGATTCAGTGCAGACTGAAAAAGGTCCTGACCGATTTCTGAGCAGTGTGGTCTGCTACAGGTGCGAATTACAGGCTATTGACTTCTGTGGGAACGGTTTCTCAACTGCACATGTCATCAGATGTGAACAGGATAAAATCCTGACCTGAACCTGATCTAATCCTGTCCTGAACCTGATCTAATCCTGTCCTGAACCTGATGTAAACCTGACCTAAACAGCTGAACAACTACTGTGTCCGTTAGCTGTGAAACCTGAGCTTCAATCCACACCACACATGTGTGAAACCACACTCAATGATGATAACAGAAAATAGAACAAATAGAAAGGGTAAATTTCTCTAACAGGGGCACAAACAGCAAAAAAAAACAAACTTATAAGCGTTCAAATCCTTCTTCAGTCTTTCCAAGACACACAAAAAAGGTTTTGCCTTTAGTTATACTTTAATGTTATATCTTACAAGTTGCAGTGTGATTTCATTTATCACCCTCAGGGATGTTTAAGGAGCATAAGCACATTACATCTTATTCTATACTTAAAAAGTGAAATAATAAAATTCAGTTTTTTTCTTTTTCTTCATTTTTTTTTAAAACCCAAGGTGAGATAATTATTCTATGAACAAGAATTTGGATGTTCACTACAAATTTCAAATTAAAAGATTGTGTGAAGAAGGAGAGAAAAGAACACATCTAATGAATAAACAGGCAGTAAGAAGCTTAAGGTATCAAGATCAGCACAAAACAGACTTCCCTGCTTACACACCGTTTGAGATTTTTGCTTTCAATTGATATTGTTCACAGTACTTAAAGCGTTTATATTAATGCACAATTTATTGCTTTTAATACTTCCCACACCCACGGTGCTGTTTTTAAAGAGTAAACTATTTTGGCATGCATCAGTCACAATACCACCATTTATATTAGTTGGTTTAAGCTGCTTAATACTGTTAATAATAAAAGTAAAAAATAGCAGAAATGTGTATTTAAGGGAGTTTTAAAACAAGTAACGTCATGCAGAAAAAGTGATAGCAGTCAACTTGATACAGAAAAGGCTTACTTCCAGGATTACGTTAGAAAATAAACAATAATAAATAAGCTAATAAACTAGTGGTAAACAGTTTTCTCAACATTTTTTTAAAAAAAAGCTACATATAATAGTGATATGA